AGGCTGAATCTGTCGGTGTGTCAGGAGGCTGAATCTGTCGGTGTGTCAGGAGGCTGAATCTGTCGGTGTGTCAAGAGGATGAATCTGTCGGTGTGTCAGGAGGATGAATCTGTCGGTGTGTCAGGAGGTTGAATCTGTCTGTGTGTCAGGAGGTTGAATCTGTCGGTGTGTCAGGAGGATGAATCTGTCGGTGTGTCAGGAGGTTGAATCTGTCTGTGTGTCAGGAGGTTGAATCTGTCGGTGTGTCAGGAGGTTGAATCTGTCTGTGTGTCAGGAGGTTGAATCTGTCTGTGTGTCAGGAGGTTGAATCTGTCGGTGTGTCAGGAGGTTGAATCTGTCGGTGTGTCAGGAGGTTGAATCTGTCTGTGTGTCAGGAGGCTGAATCTGTCGGCTGAATCTGTCGGCTGAATCTGTCGGTTGCTTACATCACAGCACCGGAGGATGACCAAATTCAAAAACTCCTCTGATGCGTCACACAAATGCGTCCTCCTTTTTCCCTTGATTTGAGGGACAGGTCCAGTGGGTCCTTCTCAGCCCAATCCATCCCATGATGCAATGCGGGCCCACCAGAGATTTTTTTCTCTTTTAATCTTCACTGCTTCTGTTTAGTGTCATCGCGGTTGCTAGGCAACAGGACAAACGCCGGGGTAAGGGATGGAATAAAGCTGGACCGTCCAAAGCCACAGACACTTTTTTCTGGTCTTTGCAGTCGACCAAGGACCTGGCCCACCTAGACCAGATAGGCCAGGTCCTTGGAAGGACGCAGCCAGAGAGAGTGTGTGGTCGGAGCACTCACCATCAGTGTCCTCCAGAGCTTGGATCATATCCGGGTCCAGTGCCGTGCTCACCAGCATCTCCATGTAGCTCCTGAACATCTCCCACATGGCCCGGCTGTTCACGCCCCCCCACACGGGTCCTAAAACACAGACAGGCTGCAGAAAGGCTGCRGACAGGACTGAGGGGACCACCACAGACCACTGACCTTCATCGTCACTGGGCAGGGAGGAGTCCGACTCTGAGGACGAGGAGGGCACCTCGTTCAGCCACCTCCTCCTCTTCTTTGGAGGAGCCTCGGCTCGGTCTTTGGAGGTCCTGGTTCTGGACTGACCCTCCATCTTCTTCTCCGCTCCTCTTTTCTCCTCTTTGAGTCTCATGAACTCTACGGTTCCATCTCTTCTCTCTCGCTCTGCTCTCTCCTTCTTTTCCTTCTCCTGATCTCTTCGCTCCTTTTCTTTCTGCTCCCTCTGGTCTCTCTCCTGTTTTTCCTTTTTCCTTCTTTCTCTTCTCTCCCTCTCTTGTTTCTCTTTCTCGCTCTGCTCTCTTTCTCTTTTCTCCTTCTCTTTCTGGTCTCTCTCCCTCTCCTGCTGTTCTTTCTCTTGCTTTTCTTGTTCCTGTTTTTCCTTCTCTCTCTGTTCTCTGTTCCTTCTTTCTCTTTCTTTCTGCTCCTTTTCTTTTTGCTCCTTTTCTTTTCTCTCCCTCTCATTTCGCTCCTTTTCCTTTAGCTCTTTTTCTCTTTTCTCTCTTTCCTTTCGCTCCATTTCTTTTTGTTCTTTTTCTCTTCTCTCTTGCTCTTTCTGCTCCTTCTCCCTTTCCATTTCTTTCTCTCTGCACTCTCTTTCTTTTTGCTCTTTCTCTTCCTGTTCTTTCTCTTTCTGCTCCCTCTTCTGTTTTTCTTTTTGTTCTCTCTCCTCCTTCTTTTCTCGTTCTTTTTGTTCCTTCTCTAGTTTCTCCCTGTGCTCCCTCTCGCGTTGTTCTTTGACTTTTGTTCTCTGCTCCTTCATCTCTCTTTCTTTCTGTCGTTCCTTGTCTCTGTCTTCTCTCTCCATCCAGGGTTGGGTCTGACAGTGGATGCTGGGCAGCTGTTTGACCAGAGACTGACGTCTGTCCATTGGTCAGGAGGAAAGAAGAAAAGAAACAAAGTGATTAAAGGTTACAGGAGCTGCTTGTTTAACTCAGATGAATCTAAAACTTTAGGTCTTACCTCAGAGTCAGTCCAGCTCTGTGCCACGGCTTCCGGGAACAAACTCTGACATAATCTTTTTTATTAATGTTTTCCAAGAACTTTACATATAATCGCTGGTACCGCATTTTGGCATCACCAAAGTAACCCAGATACTGAAGGAAAGACAAGGAGAAAACCATAATGTTTCAAAAAGCTGCAGCAGACCTTCTGATGAGAACAAACCACTGAAATATTTTCGGTTCTGTCCGTTCCGTTTTAAATTAAAAGTTACATTTCTTCTTCTACTTCTTCTTACATGTACTGCACTCTTATCAGTCTTACATTATTTTTCCTAACAGAGGTCTTTGCTCTCAGACTGCAGGTTTATAACAGAGTGGGAGGAAGAGTTTTCAGTTACTGAGGAACAAACTTAGTTTCTCATTAACTTTAAGATCAGGCTGAAAACCTTTCTTTGTTTTGAGTTGTTTGAGGTTATTGTGACTAATCTTTGTTTTTAAGAGTGAAGCATCCTTTATTTTATGAACCTGTATCGTTGTTTCCTGTTTTTCATTTTTCTATACTTTTTTTCATCGAACTACTTCTTCATACTTTACTTAACTCTTCATTTAAACGATGGATTCTATCACTTCAGTTTGTTTTTATTAAGAGAAWGGGGCACATTATACCAGGAACCGGTGCCATTTATACAGCAAACATCACAACAAAGACAAACGACATAAAGATGAAAAAATAAGAATATTAGCACAACGGCAATGCTGTGCATCCTGATAACTGAGAAATAAGACCTTAAGTTCAACTCTTATAATATTTATAACTTTTTTTTATCAAGAACAAATGTGGTGGTCACTGTGTGAGAGACTGGAGACACCTGGACAGTTCTTCAGTCCATCACAGGGACACAAAGAGACAAACAACCATTCATCCTCAATGAACCCAATATGAATCCACAGTCTGGAGAAACCAAAACATACACGGGGAGAACATGTAAACATCTCACTGAAAGGCCGCAGGTTGGGAATCACTCCTGCAACTTTCTTGCTGTGAGTCAACAATTTTAACCACTGAACCCGCAGTGCCACTGGCTTTTTTAAAATATGTTGCTTTTTTTACAATTTTTTAAAGATATATTGAGATGTCTTCAATTTATTCAACAATATTCTCAAAAATCTGCCTCAGCATACTGGCTTTATTTTTGTCTTCTTAACCTACTTTTAACTTACCTTTTGCTACACTGGCTTTTAACAGCAAGTCTTTAGTTACTTCAAGCTAAAGTAAAAAGTAAAGTAAAGTACTTCAAGCTTTTAGCTATAGTTCCTCTACTTTTAGCTTGTAGCCGACATTTGATACTTTTAGCTAAACATTTGATATTTGTGGCTTCTAGCTAACTATTTTGATTATATTAGCAAGCTTGTTGTTACATTTAGATAGCATTCTGCTACTTTTACCTTTTAGCTAGTCTTTTACCACATTCAGATAGGGATTTGCTCCGTTTAGCTTTAAATTAATGTTCTTCTTCTTGCAGCTTTTTACTGGTGTTCTGCTATGCAAGCTACAACAGTTTTAGTTTCATAAAGTTTTAGAAAGTAATTTTGCACTCAGCATGGACACTGAGTTACTGCAAGAAAATAAATTCTATGGTTATTAACTTGTTAGCCTTTGTCTTAAATGCAAATTATACACTAAAATGGTTAGATTGATCAAAATGTGTTGAGAGACATACTGATTTCACGAGCTGAGCATATTATGTCTAATTGAGCCGCATGCTTTGTTTCACAGCTGTGCAACAAGATACAGGGCAAAATAATATGAACAGAACAGTTTTGTTTTGACTGAACATTCATGGTTTTCAATATAAATAAGTATAAAACAAACTCACGTTACTGGTTGCACAGAACTGTCTCTGACCGTCTTTGATCTCTGGGCTGAATTTCTGCAGCAAAGCTTTCTGCACCCTCCAGATGGGAGGGGGCTCCCGGCCGGTCTGAAGAGCCATCTAGGCTCACAAAAAATAAAGTTTGTTATTTCAAAGTAAATTCTTCATTCACAAAACAAACCTAACAGAAACCGTAGAGGAGCTACCTTAAGAGTCCTGATGTCCTCTGTTCGGACCACAAATTCATCCCGTTCACGGAAGATTCCTTCCCCCCCGCTCTCACTGTCCTCCTCCTCACTCTCCCCTGCGATGGCAGCGTCTGCCTGCTTCTTGGCCAGGTGGAGGGAAGTCAGGCGCTGAGATGCTGGGGCCTCCTCTGGAGTCTGAGGAGACGGGGGCTGAGAGGAGGATGAGGAGGGTGACAAAGAAGCTGATGAGGACGGAGAAGGCTGCCCAACGTCAGGTTCCTGGTCCTGATCAGAGGAGGATGGGGGAGGCGTGGTGGACGGAGGAGGGACAGAGTGGCTCAGGGGAAGGTTAGACAGGGGGGAGGACAGGGTGGCTGGCGGAGAGGTGGACGGAGGAGGGGAGGTGCCAGCTGTTGGAGTGTGTCTGTACGAGGACTGCTGAGGCCGAGGCTCACAGGACAGGTACGCTGGACTCGCTTTGTCCTCATCCTGTTGGACCGGAGGAGGGGAGGGCAAAGAGAGACTGGGGGCAGGAAGTGGGGAGGGCGAGGATGGGGACACTGAGGGGGAGAGGTATGACGGTGCAGGAGCGGGAACTGGTTCAGATGGAGAATCTGAAAAACAAGGAGGATGAGATTAATCCACGGTAAATTCTTCATTAAGAATCTTCAGGAGTCAGATTATTTTAGAGTTTTTATTTTAAAAATGCTTAATGTCAAGTCACACATAAAACAGAGGGAGACCTCGGAGCCCCTTTACAACCATGTACCATGAACAAAATCAACTAGAATGTGTGTGGTGCAGACAGAGTCTTTAGGTGTGAATTAAGAATAATGGGCCTCAGGCAAGAACCGTTCGTACGCACAGATTTGTTCTTAAGTTGTGCGTACGAGTGATTTAGGAG